AGCACAATGCATTACAATTATTACATTTAGTTTCACTCCTTGTATAATTACATTGTGTCCTTCCAGTATTCATTCATTTCATCAAGAATTCTACATGAAGCAAGAAAGTATTCTACATGTTCTGAGAAAGGGGAACATGTTAAACGTCAATGAAAACATGATAGATCTTGCAAAATTGCTACTGAGGTATGTCAGAATTGCTTTGATAAACATTAACCACACACGTTTTAATCGTGGACACTTAGAAAATAAAAATCCTGTTTAGGGCTGTGTTTGGAAACATATATCCTGAAGCATTCCGTCTACAGTCTACCCAATGCATAATCAATTAGCTTTATTCTACTACTCTAATAAAATAGTTGATCTTGTGAAATTCTCAACTCAAGTATTGTAGCTTCGCTATTTGTACTTTGCCATTTTGGAATGCCTGACTCTGATTCAAATAGCAATTTGGTCTATATGTATAGACTAAAACTAATTAATTTAATCTATACTGGAGCATGGCTATTTAAGTCAGTGGCACATAAAAAAATATTTATTATTCTATTATCTTTATTTTTATTGAGGCTTTGTATACATTTGTACAGAAAAGAGACAAATTGAAAGCGTACATAATCCAACAGTTTACAACACAGCCAGATGTACTAGCACACTTTTTCAAGTTTATATTCTCAGGGTTGTAGACCACCGGGGTCAGCGGGGTCGGGTTAGTCGTAAGTCCCAGCTTGTATCGCACGGTGGACCACATCTGCAGGGTTGCCCCTATGAGCGGGTGCGTCCGGATGTCCCCTGTCTGCATGGGTTTTAGGAGCCACGTGACCCATGGGATTCGTCCCCTAGCCTGTACGCGTTCAAGGCAGACCCATTGCTTTGATGTGTCGGGCACATGCCAGTCCACGACCCGGAGGAGGTGCGCGGCTTGATAGTAAGTTTGAAGCGAGGGCAGAGCCACACCGCCTTGGCATTTTGGTCGAATCAACTGTGTATGTCAGAGTCTGGGTGCGCCCGCCGCCCATACAAATTGTCTGACGGCCGTATCTAAGGTGCAGAAAAAGCTCCTGGGGACGCGGATGGGGATTGTCTTAAACAAGTTCAGGAGCCGTGGCAGGAGGTTCATCTTGACAGCATTTATCCTCCCGAACCAGGACACACATGTCGCCCCCCATCTCTTCATATCCGCCCCCAGCGTCGCCTGCATAGGCACAAAGTTTTCGGGGAACAGGTCCTCCGTCAGCCATATGCCTAGGTATTTTATTCACTGTGTGCACCACCTGAAGGGGAAATTCGCCCTCAGTTGGGCCAACAGGCCAGGGGGTAGAGCAAGTGGCAGAGCCTCAGATTTATCTGCATTCAATCTTAAGTTGGAGAGTGCCCCGTATGACCGAAATGCCTGGAGTAAATTCGGGAGTGTCATTGTTGGGTTTGTAATAAAAAGTAGCAGATCATGTGCATAAGCAGCTACCTTGTGTTCTCCTCCTCCCACGGCGAACCCCGTTACACCCCCGTCCCGTCTGACCGCCGCCAGAAACGGTTCTAGCGTGCGGGCAAACAGGAGAGGGGACAGGGGGCACCCCTGCCGCATTCCGTTGCTAATCGAGAAGGTAGGGGACAAGGCTCCATTTATCCTCAGGCGGGTCTTCGGGGTCGCATATAGTGCTACTATCCAGGTCTGGATATGGGGGCCAAAGCCCATCTCCCAAAGAGTCTCCCTCATGAACTGCCAATCCACCCGATCATAAGCCTTCTTGGCGTCTGTGAAGAGCAGGAGGCCACCTCGGGCGGTTGTCTTGATGGCATGTATGAGGTTAAGGGGCCCTGATCGTATTATCTTTCGCCTCTCTTCCCGGGATGAACCCAGTCTGGTCTGAGTGTATCAGGTCCGAAGCCACCCCACCCACACGGAGTGCGAGGTCCGCATTGAGTAGAGAGATGGGTTTATAACCAGCGCACGAAGCGGGGTCTTTTCTGTCCTTTGGCACTACTGCCACCGTAACCATGAGGGTATCCTCTGGAAACCTCCCTCCCTCCAAAATGGAGTTAAGGCTCGCTAGCAGCTCCGGTAGGAGGATCTCCCCGAAGGTCCGTATATATAGTACCGGGAAGCCATCTGGTCCCGGGGCTTTGTTCACTTTTGCGGCTTTAAGGGCGCCCGTGAGTTCCTCCAAGGTAATGGGTGCGTCCAGGGTCTCCGCCTGGGCTTGTGTGAGCCTCCGGGATATGTGTTGCTCCAGGTATTCCCTAACTCTGGCCAGTCTCTGTTGAGACTCCGCTATCCCAGTGTCCGCCGGCAGGTTGTAAAGCCCAGAGTAGAACTCCTGGAATTCAGTTATGATTCCATCTGGTCTTCGTACGGGAGGTGCACCCGCCGTTTGCAGTATTGTGATTTGTGACTGTCGTCGCTTCTTTTGAAGCATTTTAGCCAACATACGCCCGCATTTGTTGGAATGCTCGTAGTAGAATCTGTTGGATTTACGGAGTGTATACGATAGATTCCGGGATAGGAGGCTTTTCAAGTCTCTTCTGGCCTCTAAAAGGGTACGGTAGTTGTCATCCGTCGGGTCCAATCTGTGTGCCTGTTCGAGTAGCGAAGTTCGTGCATACAAGTCCTTTAGTTTGTTAATTTGCTCCTGTTTACGTTTGGAACAGATCTTGATGAAATGGCCCCATAGAACACATTTGTGGGCTTCCCAACGTATCTGGGGCGAGGTGTCCGGTGTACGATTGTCTGCAAAATATTGTTGAAGACCTCCCTCGTTTCAGCCTGGAGCAGGGGGTCCCCCAGCACCTGTTCGCTTAGCCTCCACTGTCTACTGCTAGGCTTGAAGAGAGGAGAGCGCATCGTGGCCAGTACCGGGGCGTGGTTCGACCAGACCACTGTTTGAATGTCACAGGACAGGAGAAGGTGCAGGTATTCCTGTGCGATCAGAATATAATCGAGGCGGCTATGTCCGTTATGCACCTGCGAATAAAACGTGAAATCCCTGTCCTCAGGGTTAAGGACTCTCCAGGTATCGGCCAGACCCGTTTCCCGTAGCGCTTTTCCTGCCATTCGTATACATAAGTCAGGGTGCGAGCTGCGTCTATACGTGGATCCAGTGGGACATTGATGTCTCCCGCTACTATGAGGAGTCCCTCTCTAAACTTGTCCAGCTGTCGGAGGGTCCTGGCGAGAAAGCGATGCTGGCCCGTGTTCGGGTGTGTATTTTATATTAGCAATCGTGCCTTTAAGGAATAAGTAACGGCCTTTCGGATCCGCCTTTGTCTCGGAACAGCAAAACGGTACATGTCGTGCAAAGAGTAATGCTACCCCTGCTCTCTTGGCCCTCTGGTGGTTCGCAAAATATCCTGTAGGGAACCGTGTATCTCGAAGGACGGGGCCTACCCCTCCTCTGAAATGGGTCTCCTGAGGAATGCTATTGAGGCCCGAGCGGCCCACAGGGACCGAAGCAGGTGCGACCTCCTTTCCGGGGTGTTCAGTCCCCTCAAGTTGTTGGTCCAGAGGCGTAGAGGGCGGGGCAGAACCCCCCAGTCTGCGGACCAGCCATGGCCGATAGGGGGGGGTGGGGCAAGGGAGGGAGAGCATGGACAGTGGGAGAAGGAGAGAGGTAGGGAGGTGAGGGAGGGGGGACAACTCAGTCGTAGGGGTCCGTCAGGAGGGGGAGAAGGGGGACTGTCGGGAGAGGGAAGAGTCCTTGACTTGGTAGGTCGACCCTGTAAGGGGAGAGTTGGACTTGACTGTAGGGGAGGTTCTCGTCAGGCCTGAGTCCCCAATCCCTTAATTGACTCAGTCTCCCGTGGTCCTCCCGTCAATTACCCTCAGTCTGTCCGAGGAGTCGTGCGCGGTACCCGTGCAAAAAGACCCGTGTCTCAGTCTGGGTGTTAAATGTACCTGTGCTGACTGTACCCATCCCTACTGGCCCTCGGCCGGCCTAACGTGAAATGAACCAGTAACTATTTACATGTCAAGGTTCGGTGTGGTAGCTGTTAAGCGGGAGTGGACCAGCCCTCTGCCGGGTCGTACCCGTGGTCAAGCCCCTGTTCAGTGGTGTCCCATACAGCAGCGGTGCTTGTCTCTGCGCTTTCTACTTTTAATGGTTCCCCACCCCCCCACCCCCCCAGACCACCATCCCCCCGGCCCCCCACCCCCACCCAACCCCCCATGCACATACTGCGTCACAGTTTCCCAGGACCACTACGCTCTAGCGAACCGTTTATAGCACTAGGGCAACATTACACCCCACTTAAAGAGTAGAGCCCGACGGGCCAGTCTGTTCCATTAAGCCCCCGGGTAGCCAGGTCTTGTTCTCGCTCTCCCCACCCAAAGCCCCAGGGAGGGAGCTCATCTCTTGCTATTCATACTGCCCCGGCAGGGGGTAGGAGGGCAGGGGACAGGGAGGGGGGGAGCGTCTCTCTCTCCGTTGTATTGTCCTGCGCCCATCTCGCGGCAGGGTGAAGGGGGGGAGGAGGGAAGGGAAGAGCAAGGGCCACCTGGTAGTTCGCTGACCGCCACCCAACCTAGCTTCTACGACCCTCTATGGCCAACCACGATGCCCAACTATAGTACCTTCGTGGAAGTCCACACACACCAGCTGGTAGACCCATTACTCCTCAGCACCAGCAGGGCCTCCCAGCATCCTCGTGGGGGGCACCCTCGCCCACGGTTGTTCCGGCTGTGGGCTCTGGTCACCTGGACTACCTCTTGGCGCCAGCGGTGTCTCCAAGAGCCAATTACGGGTGCGTATGTGGGGAATGCAGAGGGTCCTCAGCGTCGGGGCGACATCATCAGGCCAACGAATATGTAGCCATGTCGTGCTTGATCTGTAGGCTAAAAGGGAACCCCCAGCAGTAGGGCACATTCTTCTCCCGAAGGGCAGCAGTAATGGGCCGGAGCGCTCTCCTGGCATCCAGCGTCAGGCTAGACAGATCCTGAAACAGTGCCACCTTGATGCCCTGGAACACGATCTTGTCAGTACCTCTAGTGGCGGTTATCAGTGCTTCCTTCAGGCTATAGGCGTGTAGGCAACACAGGATGTCCCTGGGTTTCCCAGGGCTCTGTGAATCCTATCAAATTGGATATCCGCTGGGCATTCCCGGCCCAGGATGTGTCGGAAGAGAGCCTGAGCCGGTAGTCCTCGGATCCGGATATTCTGACGGCGGCTGCGGTTCTCCAGTTCCTCCACCTGTCGCCTCAGTGTCAGTAAGAGGTTCCCCTGCCTTGTGGCAGCTATCTCGGCGGCCCTGTGTTGTGCTTCAGTCTCCAGGGCATCCACTCTCACCTCCACAGCAGACAGGTCCGAGCGTATTGCAGAGATCTCCTCCCGCACGGCCGTTCGGAATTCCTGCAGCAGGCCACTGGAGTCCACCTTCGTGAGCATGCGTGCAGAGATCCGGGTGAGTTCTTGTCGGATCAGACTCAGTGCATTGCTCCGGTCTCCCTCCTCAGATGAAACTCCCGCGCTTTCGGTCCTTGGGGATGCCGGCGCCAAGTTAGCTGCTGGCCCAGTTCCTCTAAGGTCCGCCGGCGTGGACACATAGTCATCCATTGTGCCGGTATATCTACATGGTGAGCCAGTCGAGGGTGTCCCTTGGGGCATAGGCTTCTTGTTCCGAACCATTTTAAGGCAGAGGTTTTCCTAATTTGTCGCTATTACTAGGTTGAGGGCACAGAGCTCAGGCACTACACGTCTGCTCTCATGCTCGGTCCGGCCACACCCCTAAATATTTATTTTTAAAGATGTCAGGGTTATTCACTAAACAGGTAATTGTGAATTCACCAGGAAATTACATATTTTAGGCAAACTTGATATGAAAAAATTGTTGAGTTGGCAAATTTGTTCATATTTGATAATTTCATCCTACAATTTGCAATTCCCACCCAGAACCAAGGCTCATTCAGCCATCTAAGCAGGTTTTCGTTGTTAGTATGATTATTGTTTAAAGGGTTACTCCAAGCACCATAACCACTTAAGTGAATTGACTGAATAAAGCATCGGGGACCCAGAATAGGGGGCGAACTGTTGGTAAAGAGAGCTAGACTAGGGTACGCCTAGTATCATAAGCACTTCAGCGAGCTGTAGTGGTTATGATGTTTGGAATAACCATTTAAACTATTTTGTATAATTTAATTGCATATTGTAGACATATATAAGAATAGCTGAGTTGGACCCATGACCAAGCTGATTTCCCAAAAATTCACAGCATAGCAAATAACCATGAAAAAACACATTGTTGTGAACTTAACACAGGAAAGTTTATTCATATACTTTCAGGGTTAATAACCAAAGCAAGAATTGGCTTGAATTCAAAGTAAATTTTTAAATTGTCTTCCTTTTTTTTTCACATTTCCCTTTGTTATAATTAGTGAAGCCAGTGAGGTTGACATACCTCCCAACATTTAAAATAGACAATGAGGTAAACATAGAAATGTTAGGTGACTTACTGATAACAATTTATACATATACAATGTAATTTAGAACAATGTAGCATTTACACTGAATAATTTCTGAACACATTTATTGTGGTCTAAATACACAATACCGTAATAGTGCTGTGGAGCTCTGCTATTCATTCAGACACACCAACAATAAGATGGAAACAAGGAACAGAGGGATTTGGATCCAAAATGGGGACTGCCCACCTAAATAGGGACACATGGGAGGTATGGGTTTATTCACTAAAGTGTGACACAACAAGAATTCAAAGTGAATTAAAAATGACTTTCATATAAATGGTGAACACATATGAAAGTCATTTTTAATTCACTTTGAATTCTTGTTGTGTCACACTTTAGTGAATAAACCCATACCTCCCATGTGTCCCTATTTAGGAGGGCAGTCCCTATTTTGGATCTAGACATGTGTTTATCACTTGTTTAAATTTGTAAAATTATAATAAAAATTAATGTTAAAAGAACATAAAATAAAAAATACTTTCATATTTTAGGCCAAAATAACCATGCCTTAACTTTTTGAGATTTTTTTCTAGTTCATCAATTTAGGCCTAAAATATGACTCTGATTTCAGTTTCTTTATAACTCCCATTTTAGTGAATACAGCCTTCCCATGTGAGCCATTTTCGTTGCTTAGTGAATAAGCCCCAGTAAATCCCATTGTAATTGCCACACATCCTTCCCAGTCTCCACCCCCAAGCTCCCACTGGCTGCCGTATTGACATGTCTATAAAACCACCATTAGGGGGCGCTGCTATGTCTGACATATCATCAGTATCCTCTCCATTCGCTGGCCGCCAGGTCACGTGGGGTCCGTATCCGCCTACTCTGGCTGCTTCCTCTGCTCAGGTCGGTGTGCAGCTTGCGCGGGAAGGCTGGCCCACCATGGAGACTGAGCACTAGCTTGGAGCTGTGTGCTGGCAGCCGCCCTCTGATCAGTCCGTGTGGTAGGCCTATGAGAACTGCTGCGAGCCACTGCCCGTTGGCTTACTTTGGAAAGCGCATATGGCTTTGAAACTACTTATCCCGTCATGCTCAGCTGTTCAACAGGTTAGCTGAGCATCATGGGATAGGCATCCAAAGTCCGCAGGGGACGACGGTTTTTTTTATGTTGACATGCACGAGCCGTGACGTCACTAGCTAGCGCTGCCGTGGGGAGGATGGCATGAAGCATGAAACGTCTAGTGCGAGTCTCTTGGCGTGGGAACCACGTGTCTTGGGCTGACTCCCTCGCGCAATGCGTCGTCGCTCGCGCTCTGCGGAGGAGTGTGGAACGCTTGAAGGCGTTCTCCGCCGCCATCTTGCCTCTTTCCCTGTTCCCGCGCGGGTCGCTCACCTCACACGAGGCGGTTGTGTAGGCAGGCTGATTGTAAATTAATATTCTTAATGGCGTGTTTCCCCCTTAATCGGTAGAGGTGCCGGGGCTGCTGTAGGCTTTGAACACTTTATTTTTCATGCTGTATATAACGTATAGGCCTTACAGCTCTGCACATACTCTATCCTTCCTTAAAGGGACACTCCAAGCACTATAACCACTACCGCACATAACTACACTCGCTGCAGCCGCTGCCCACTATACACTCGCTGCAGCCACTATACACTCGCTGCAGCCACTGCCCACTATACACTCGCTGCAGCCACTGCCCACTATACACTCGCTGCAGCCACTGCCCACTATACACTCGCTGCAGCCACTGCCCACTATACACTCGCTGCCCACTATACACTCACTGCAGCCACTACCGCACATAACTACTCAGTGCAGCCACTACCATTATACTCATTGCATTCCCTGCCCTTATACACTCACTGCATCTACTGCGCGCACGCATTTATACACTCACTGCATCCACTACACACAAATATAAATATTTTTGGAAATATTAAAACAATCTGACTGGCATGTATATTTTGTGCATTTACCACTTGATTAAAGTGTGCTGTAGTGGTTATGGTGCTTGAACTTTCTCTCTAAGAAAATGTAAAGGGACACAATAGTTTAAACAAACCTATTCCTGATACCATAGCTATGGTCCCAGATCCCCCTTGCCTCCCATATTAAAAGGTCGCTTACCGTTTTTCAGTTCTGCCCCAGTCTTGTAGCAGTTGGCTCCATCTCCATGGCTTTGATATTGATGATCTCAACCTTTCCTTCCTATATTTTTTTTTTATTTTACACTTTTTTTTTTTTCTGTAAAGGCAGTCTACATTAAAAGGCCTGCAGGGACTGGCTGTAGACACCTTTTTTTTAATTACATTTTATTTATAGCGCCAGCAAGTTCTGTAGCTGCCACCACCCCCGCAATCCCCTCCTATTTAAGAGTTTCATTGCAGGGTTTTAATGCCTCTAGTGGCTGTCAGAGTAACTGTAGGCACTTTTGGAGGAAATGGCAGAGTAAGATCTTTCTATCCATGGTCTTAGAGCATATTGGCCATGCACACTAGCCTACCTATGCTTCCTACAGGACAGTGTTGAATTGGCTTAGATCTCAGCCAAGTAAGTGGGGCTAGCTGCCACAGACTGGTGTGGCAAGAGGGAAAAGGGTAAGTAAAACTACTTGCCTACTGCAGGTGGGGCCGGGAAACTAGTTAGAAATACTTACATTCCTAATGCTATAGTATCTTAACCACGCAATTTGAAAGGCAAAATTCATGTACATTGTTTTTAACTTTCTATAATGCATGTTTGGGGTAGGGAGTACAATACAATTGGTTGAATATTTGAATTGTCCAGACAAATGCCAATGTTGAAAAGGAATGGTTACATACATCCATAGTGTAGCAGTTTTCCCAACAGGCAATCAGTCCTGGAATCAAATGCAGAGTGCATGCCTATCTCCAATCCAGTGCTTCTTTGTGAGAAGCATTTTATTGGATGAGGTCATGGAAGGAGTCATCAGGCAACAAGATAAGAAATTGGCTTCCCACCCTTTTTTTTTTAAATTTTTTTTTTTTTTTTTTAAAGCAAAGGTGGTTGACTGAAGGGAATCTATGGTCATGTGGGGAGGGGGGAAATATTTTGGGCCCTATAGCCTCCCTCTAAGTTGCTGTTGAAAGGAAATATCTAAAGTTAAACACTTACCTGACCCAGTCAGTAGTTAGAGCCAACCTTATTGCGTTTTGTACAAATTGGTTTGGGATTTTTTTTTCTTCAGATCAACCTGGGAGCCTGTGTCCCCTATCCTGCGTCATGAGACACGTGCAGACTTCTTCCAGGGCTGTATCAACTTCTGCCAGTGGATTAAAGCCAAGCATTTCCAAGGGTCACATGCACACCCGGGTTGTTGGAGCGCGCAAAGTGCGAATCCCTGAGAGAGAGGTCCCTGCAGCTAGATCAAAAATGGCATGTACTCCCCACTTTAACCTGCAACCCCAGGAACGCCAGGCATTTTACAGATTGCTGGGTAAATTTTAGCTATAGGAGAAGCACAAATACTTATAGAAACGCTAGTGTCTGGAAATCTGTATTCCTGCCAGTGCTGCTCTACAGATTTAGGTGACCGCTACATTCCAGAATGGTATCTCTGACACAGCCTTTTTTCTGAAACTGCAGCATTTACGTTGCTAAGCCTGCAAGTACAGGCTGTAGGCACCAGAACCACCATCAAAACATAGACAAATTTGAGATGTCTAATCTGGAAGGATAACTTTAGCAACATCTGAAGAGGCCCCAGATAGCATGTTCCCAGGGGAGCCAGATAAGTGTCACTTTTAGAAAAGTTTGACTTCTAAATATCAGTGACTTGATGTGGACATAGTGCTTGGAATCTATGCAGCATTTCAATATGAAAAAGCTATAATACAGATATAGCCCAGTGCTGTAAATACCTTTTAGCAGTGTCAGAAGCCAACCAGGAACTGCCTTGCTCTAGGCTAGCTTATGATGCTGCTAGTGGTGGTATTGCACCTACAGCAGCTTCAATAAATCTCTGCAGCGTCTTCATATTTAAACTCTGCTCATAGCCTGAGCGCCATGACCATTTTAAATAACTGAAGTGGTCATCGTGCTTGAAGTAATCCTCTAAAAAAAAAAAGTGTATTTATTTAACTGAAGTTGGGATACATCCTCCACCAGTCTGGCTGAAATATGAAGCCTGTGCTTGGAGAAAGTGGGTTTTTGTTTTTGTTTTTCAGTCTTAAAATAAACTTAGCTGAGCATCCTCTGGCAATGATGTTGAAATAGCAATATACTGGGTATCATGGGAAGTGTCTAAACCTCTGTTGCGCAAAATGTAATTGTGCCCTGTGAGGTGTAACTATTGTTTAAATAAACACTGGAACCACTATACCACAGTAGTGATCATGGTTCCAGGAGAACACTGCTGCTTCCTCCCAATGTAAGTTAATTTGCTAATGATTTTACGATATACCCAGGCTAGTCACCAGACCAGTCGCCACCATCAGTGAGGGCTGGAACCTACTGAACAAACTTGCCATTGGATCTCCTGAGCTAAGACCGGAGTCAGCTAATTGCTGTCAGCCAATGAGCTAAGCCCTGCACTGTCAGGCCATCTCAACATTGCTTCCAGCTCTCAATGGAAGTTGCTGGCACCTGACAGATCCCCCATCTGCAGCTTGACTTCTCAGGATGGAATGGAGCACTTCTGGCATCATACATTACATACAGCTAGCTATAGTGGTTATAGTGCTTGGCATGCTCTTATATATTATTTTTTAGGTTCTTATTTTTTTTTTTTTGTGTGTGCAGAGAGTGATCTCATACAAGAGTTCCTTTCCATGGATGGCTGTCTGCGGATATCTGACAAGGTTAGCATGTGATGTAACCAGAGTTTTGTGTTATAACAAATCATTTAATCTCTAGGAAATATGCATGACTTTAGCTTATTAGTGTTAAATGCCAGGCACTTGTGCACACAATGTTCAAAACTTTGGCCATATGTGTAGTGTGGGTTTTTGGGTGGGTGGGGGATCTTTGTCATTGTTTTAGCAATGTGTTATGTTAAAATGTGGTCTTTCAAACAATACTAAGATTATTTTTGCTTTAAACGAAGAAAGATCTCCCTTTAGATTTGCACTTACAATCCTTAATCCGTTAGTGCTCGATTTAACCCCTTTTTAACGGACTTCACTTGATAAAACACTTCCGTTCTGTCATGTCAGTACGTGAACGCACACTGCAAGTCATACTCCTTCACTTTTTGGATCAGTACTGTCCATATCTCCTCCCCCCCTCTCCAGCAAGTTAACTGTTTAAAGTAATCTTTCAACCACTAACCTATACTGTAGTAGTTATGGTGACAGTTTTTATAATGGCGTGACCACCTTTCGTGGTCCTGCATGCTGCAGCTGTTTCTTCTTGCAGGAGAAGGTAGAACTGCTCATCATGCTTAGAGTGGCTTTTTAATGTATACATATCCCCAACATCACCTAGAAATGTGTATTCGAGGCATGGGGGGAAAAAAAATTTCAAACTCTGAAATAAGCAGCCTTTATCCTGAGACTGAGTACCTACATCTACTCTATGCAATGCATGTCCTTGCTGTGCTGGAATGAACAGGATTGTTCCAAGTCATTAAAGAGAACTTGATCAGAATTAAGTTATGGTGCGAGGCGGTCCCAGCTTACCTTAAGGGTCGTTAACCAGTGGTTTAACCCTAGAGTGCTGAAACCAGCCCTCCGATCACTGTCACTATCCTTCCAGCTGAGTTCAAGACCTGAATCAGGAAGTCTTTCAAAGGTGTGCTGTTTAGTGTCTTCCTGATTCAAGCCTCTGACTGCAGCAGGTAGATGGTTAGTTCAAACAAGGCTGGGTTTCAGTACTTTCTGGTTAAACAATTTGTTAATTGCTTAAAGTAAGCCAGGTACCTGATTGCACCATAACGTCAATGATAAAAGCTTATCCATAGTGTAACGGTCAGTAAACGGTTTCTATGGGGGGAGTCTCCTAAAGCCACTGATTCTCTAAAATTTATGCATAAGTGTGCAGTTGTGGTATTTTTAATGAGAAAATCCACAGCTCGTTAAATATTGAATCATTCCTTATGTATGTGGTAGCTGTATGTCAAATTGTGTAGGCTACATTTTGCATGCATTTTTGATATTGGGCAAACTATTTGCATTATGCATAAATGTAGTGCATGTGAAACAATTTAAAATAAAACAGTTGGTATCTTAATAACTTACTGTCAGTGGTGTGTTAAGTTGTAAGGCAGCTTATGCTATGAACAAAATGTTTCAGTATGTTGCACTATTATACCGATTTTAACTGCTTATTTTTTATTATGCAGTATCTGATTGCCATGGTGCTAGTGTATTTTAAGAGAGCAGGACTGTACACCAGTGAATATACAACAATGAACTTCTTTGTCGCCCTGTGAGTAAATTGTTTTTCCTACTCGCGTAACTTTAACCTAGCACTTGTACATCTGCTTTTTATAAAAGTAAAATTATAAAATATTGAAAAGGTTGATCATAAAATTTGTGATAATACATTGTATAGTCTAGAGTCTAAACACAACTCCCAGGGTTTCCCTAATTCTTTAATTTCAGGGTCAGTACATCTCCAGTGTCTCTTAATTATATAATGTTGGTTCCTCTGACCATTTTAAATTTTTCCTCGATCTTAATTTTTCTTTGTGTTTAACTTTTGGTATTGCAAAATAACACATTTAACTCGGGCCATTTTGTGTTCTGGCACATGGTTTCGGTAAAACAGATGCACTAAGTTTGTAAAGGAATAAAACACTGGCCATAGAAAAAAATAAAAATTCGTCAAATTCATGCATGTATTCATATCTAACTACATCCTCCCCAGCCCCCCTCACTAGGGGTATCTAATAATTTGCCAGAAGCTGTAAATCGCTTGTCTGTAGCACTTGCAATCCCTCCCCTTATAAAACAAAATTTGACTGTCTAATCAGACTACTTGGTGACAAGTCTTTGCAAGTCAGGTGCTCACTAGGTATATCTACTTCTCTTGCAGGATTAGCTTAAGCCTCAGCTCTTCCTCCACCTGTTTGCCATAAAAATATCCCTCAAATTCCCCAGAAAGTACACAAGCAAAACTAATGCAAAATATATAATTTATTAACTATGGGAGGGAAATAGAAGTGCATTGTCTCTAATCTTTCTAAGGAAAATACATTTGCCAGATGGAATAGCAATGAATTGATGGGGTTTTTTTTTTTTTTTTAAATTTGAATTGTCTGAGCCATTGAGGCACATTTCTTCACTTTTCTGTTGATTCTTGAGGCCATAAGATCTACTTCTGGTTTGGCAAATCGATGGACTTCCAGAAAATGATTCCTGCTTAGTGCATCTGCCAGGATGACAACCTTCCCATTGACATGAACTGTCATCAGAGATTGAATATGGAACTCTGACCCTAGCAATATCTTTGTACAGAGATTCTCCAGAGAAGATGATCCAGTTCCTTCTTGCTGTCGATATAGGCCGCTGTATTTACATTGTGGGAATCTCCCTTTTTCATGGAGAATGAAGTGTTTGAAACTTCAGATCGCCATCCATGCTGCTTTTGGTTCCCAAAAGGTTGTGGAAAAGAGTTCACTGGCCTTTTGCAGACAGGTTTACCCATGTGTTCTTTAACCACCAGCTGAAGCATCTTTAGTAACAAAGATGTTTTGTATTAACCCAAAAGGAATCTTGATCTGATTTTTGATCTAGAATCCAGACATGTGTTTTTTTTGTCTTTGTTTTTTTTTTTCCTAGGCACTCTGGCTGTTTAAAGCCAGCTCTGCAACAAAGCTGGATTACCAACAATCTTCAACTGCCCAGGTATGGGACAATGTTAACACCTTTTCTTAAAGCTACAGCAATAACTACTAGACCTCTTTTGAAAACTCAAAGCAAACTCCAAAAGTGGAGACTTCTGAACTTTTAATGAACAAGTTTGCCTTTACCATTATACAAAATCTTACATTTTCTGCTTTCCTTTGCCATGATAATATTGTAGGCATCCTTTAGATCTAAAGAACTCAATAGGGCTTTCTTTGATGTGCATGACTTTTCTGTGTAACATGACGATTGACTTAAATTATTTAAAATAGGTCTAAATGAGCGGTCTGGTTTCTTTACGGAGACTTGTGAGGAAGTCCCTTTTTTTTTTTAAGTCTGTGGGCTGAAGTTATTTTACTCTTCTGGACCAGGTTTAGCACTTCTAAATGGAGATTTCTTGACATGATGGGACATTGAAATGTCCAACAAAGGAAACCCTCGAGTGTCTGGAACTAAAATCTGGCACTCTACTTCATGGACACTGGTCTCAAACATGAACGATGAACTGTATTCCCGAACAGCTAGGAGAGCACTTTTTGGTACTTTGATGTACTTGTATGAGGGGAATAATCGCTCCTAAGAGCCAGGAGGCTCCGTTCGTGGATTAGGGAGTTATTTGACATCTTCAGAATTGACCGACCTCACACGCCGAATTTGTGGAACTATATTGGGCAAGAGCTTCGTGTGCGGTTGGTAACTTAAGAAAACCCCTGAACCGATCTGGGGAACATCAGGGAATGTGACATTAGTGGGGATACCTTAAGCATAAAGGGTGTTCTGAGTTTGGGGAAAATGTGTGCACTTTTCCTGGAGATAATTGGGTTATTCCTTTAACTTATCTCATTATCTCACAGGCGGAGACAGGGAGTGTTTAAGTGTAACTTTACCTTATGATTGGCTATTTGGTTTGTGTACTGTGGGAGGTCCTCCTGCAAGGGGACCTCCATAAAAGCCTGTGTGGTCTCAAACATCAGTCTTGTTACACCCTTCATGTTTCAGCTGGTGTTTGGGTACCTGATTACCACTTGGGAAAAGCTGTACTAGAGGATGTCGTTTCTTTGGACTTTAACTACCGACCAGAAGAACCTACAAACCCATAGCTACCACTTCAGGGTTCGTTACAGTTAAGCTACCCCATTCATTGGTTTCTGAGCAGAGGTGGGCGTATAACTGCGATATCAGGCCTTTTGGTATGTTTTCGTGTAGGCATGTGCTCATAGAATGTTAAGGGCTTTTGGGCAGCTGCTCGTACATGTGGATTTTTTTTAATAATCTTCAATTTGAAGATGCTTAAAGTCTGTTGGTGCGAGGTGGCCTCGTTGTTGTAGAATGTCAAACAGTACTATCTCTGGTCCCTGTAATGTTTGACTGATGCATTGCATGCCTATCCCTTCCAATGTCCTAAAGTCCCTTGCTGTCATCCCTGTTGCGGAGAAAAGGCACCAATAGGGAAGAGTTGGATGCTGGCCTGTATCTTTGATTGGATAGGTCCCATATGCGTATAGACTTCAGGACAGCTGGACATGTGACTCTATCTGCCTACTACCTCTGGGTACCCATATGAGGACTTGTGGTATGTCTGCCCCAGCCTCATGGATTCTAAATCCACCTATTTTCTAATTCCCGGTGGCGAATGCCAAAGTGCGATTTGTGATCGTTGGGCTGCTATATAGTAAAAGTATAGGTTAGGTAACCCCAAACCCCCTCGTGTCTTAGGTCTGTACAATGTGTTTAGAGATTCTATGGAGTTTATTTTGCCACACAAAATCCCCTGTTGCAGAGGTGCCAAGTATGCCTTGGAGACATGTATAGGAAACGTCTGGAAGTAGAATAAAATCCTGGGTAAGATGTTAATCTTGACCGCATGGATCCTCCCTATCCATGAGAGGTCGATCATTCAAAGTTTCCAATTCCTTTATCAATTGTTTTATGAGCGGAGTATAGTTTTGATTTAAGAGTTTGTCTGGGTCAGCTGTCAAACGGATGCCCAGGTATTTAATCTTCTCTTTCTATGTGGTGTTTTTAATTACGGCTATGTCTCCCTTTGGTACGCATACTGGTAGGGCGCTTGATTTAGTCATATTTACTTAACCCGAAATAGCTCCACAGTCCGTGAGGATCCATTGCAAGGCCCTCATTGAGTTGACTGGGTCCGTGAGCATCAGAAGCACATCATCTGCGTATGCTGATACCAAATATTCCTCCTACCCCCTGCACAGACTCCCTGTATGTCTGGATGTCTCCTCAAAGCCTGTAGTAACGGCTCCAGGGAAAGCACAAATAAGGAGGGGGGGGGGGGTATAGTGGGCACCCCTGTCTTGTGCCATTGAGAAAGCAGGGCACCCGAAATGTTCACCTGTACTCGCACTTTTCTATACATGGCCTTAAGCAAAGTGATTGCTTGGTCCAGGAAACCCATATGGGTCAGGAGTGTGAATAAATACGTCCAAGAGACTCTACCGAACGCTTTTTCAGCGTCTAGGGATACAAACTTGGCTGGGGTATGAGTGGCCCATTTCCATATGAGGTCTGTTTCTACGAGTATTCTGAGTTGCCTACCCTGGACAAAACCCTACTTGATCTGCGTCTACTAATGAGGATAACAGTGGGTTTAATCTTGATGCTTGAATTTTCGCTAATATTTTAATGTAATGGTTTGAGAGATTGGGTGGCAACTACCCGGGAGGCTCAGGTCTCTGTCTGGTTTTTGGGAGTAATATAATGGTAGCCAGGGACATGTCCGAATCCGGACTGCCACCTGATCTGAAGTCGTTGGAGAGCTACTAGGTGGGGAATGAGTTTCTCTAAACTTTGTAATAGCAGCCATCAAACCCATCTGGGCAAGGGGCTTTATTTCATTTCAGCTGGGATATCGCTTGGGATACCTAATCTGGGGTGATCTCTGCCGCTAGTTTCGGTTTCCGCCGGAGTTAACTTGGATAGTCCTAGATTTGCTAAAAATCTTTGTCAGTCTCATCCTGTAATGTCCAGTTTTCTGATCCTGGGGAGTGGTTGTATAGGGATTATATAAGTCTGTAAAGACCTCTGCTATGTCCTGGGGAGTAGTTTTGATTGACCCGTCCTTATGTCGTATAGAGGTGATGTGGCCCCCGCGTTGTCTCAGGACTCTGGCTAGGAGCGTATCCATTTTGTTTGCATTTTCATAAAAATTCTTCTTGGGCCACGTAAGGGCTTTTGGCCGTATCGTTGAGGAGCAGCATGCGTATGGCAAGCTGTACCTCAGTCGCGTCGTTCGGACCGCTCTGATGTTGCTCTGCCTGCTTAAGATCGGCCAAGAGGCCTTCTAGTTTTTGGAATTTCTTTTTAGCTGTAGCCCGTTTTTTATTAGCGTGCCTCGTATTACCGTCTTTTGCGCTGCCCAAACTGTTGCTAATGTCAAGTCATGGGTGGTGTTAGTCTCAAAGTCAAGAATGTCCTTTCTAACCTGTTCCGTTATGCTCTGGTCTCATACCAGGGAAGGGTTACGTCTCTGTCCATGGGGCCGCTGTGCTCAGGTTCCCCGGTGTCAGGGATACGTCAGCATGGCTTGTCCAGGTTAGACCTGATATCTGACCCTGTTACCAATGGTAAGCTCCTATCCACGAATAAGTCCCATGAGGGGTGGGAAAAAAGGTGTAGTCCTTTGTGCTTGGATGATGTGCCCTCCAGACGCCACCAACCCGTCGCCGTCACAAAGCCATGTAGCAGTTTCTTGCCCTCCCATACCTTGCGACCTTTGTGTCCCCCTATGAGCACTTCTGTCAGCTGCTGGGCTTGGTGTAGCATTAAAATCGCCCCAACTATAATCCTCCTGTGATGAAGGGCATGAATTTTGGTCTGAAGTGTCCCAAAATGCTAGGGCCGGTTGGTTTGGTGCGTAAATATTAAATGGATGGTATGAGAAAGTAGGGTGCCGGAGACTATGATGTAGCGTCCCTCCGGGTCTGCCTCAGTGGCAGAGACCCTGAGTGGGTAGCCATTTCGTATGAGGATTACCATGCCATTGCGTTTGCACAGAGTTCTAGTTCATATGTGGAGACGTATGTGTGGTCTTTAAGTTTAAAATGTGCTTGTTTCAGTAAATGTCTCTTGAACGAAGGCCACATCGGCCTTCATTCTCTCCAGTTCTCTAAACAATAGGCGTATTTTGGTTGGAGAATTTAGGCCTTTGACGTTTAGTGAGGTTAGTTTCACGGCCATGTATCTGGTCTGTTCAAAACGCTACTGTATACTCCCACCCCTGCTTCCTCCCAGACACCCCAAACCCGTCCAACACTTTCCCACCCAGAAGAAAAAAGGAAACTAGGGAAACAGAAAAGAAAATTAGGAAAAGAGTAGAATGTGGTACATCTCTCGTGCGCCACAGACAGTCTGGTCTTATCCATTGTCACTTATGCAGGGGGGTTTTCAGACAGCAAATACAATACAATAACGGTACATTATAACCAAAACTTAAGTGCTTTAGGCATTGAAGGTGAGGTCCACTCCTTATCACCGAGGGTCCCTACTTGTTCCTATACCTGCATCTGCCCTCTCCTGCCGTGCAGGACTTCTACCTGCCGCCTCCTGGGCGGGGGGTGCGAGGAATATCCTGTATAAAGAGGCTCTAGCTGCGTGTTCACCATTTTGCAACATTAGCCCATATGAGCCTATGGAAAGGCCCTACATCTGTGCACAGCTGGGTCTTCTGTGGTGAAATCACCAGTGCCCTTGTGCTGCTAGTCACTCGTGGTTTTTTTTTTGTTTTTTTTTTAATTTGTAAATAGTGGGGGAGGAAGGGGGTGATCAATATGCAATGTCTTTCTCCACTGTACAAGCTATGCTGAGGTTATCCCCAGCCACAAACACTTTTCTTCTCCCACCTTACCCCCTGTTTGCTGAGAGCGGCTGTACATACAACATGCGTCCAAATGGACCTGTGAGGCTGGTGGCAGTCTCAAGTCCCTTTTATATCCCTTCCTAGTCTGCTTGAAGTGTCCTTTACTCCCAGGTGGTGTGACTGCCAAAACCTCCAATGTGTATTGGGTTTGGTAAAATTTAAGCAAAGACTGCATCATTCCTAACCTGGTGTCAAGATTATCAAGCCCAATCTTGGGATTATTAGGGAGAATCAAATGGTTTATCAGCTGCTGTGCCTGAGACGGTCCAAAGAGGCAGGTAGAAGAGAAGGCTGTCTGCTACATCTAATGTGGTTTCTGGTGTTTGTCTACTTTTTATTGAGACTTATCTGGTTCATCATATTGTGTGGAGTTGGTTCCCAGCTGATATACTAAGAAGGTTCATTTGGGAATGAATCAGTCATGGGGCAGGATAATATGCTGAACTTCTGAGGGTTCTCTGTTCCTCAGACCCTATGTCTTGTATATGGGAGAACTCTGTAACGAGCGTTTAATGTTTACCATCAAATGAGGTAAAAGTTCAATCCCCAAGATACACTGGGAAACCAGAAATTTCTTGTCTCTTCCCTAATACCATAAGTGAAATAGTCTGTAAGAGGACTCTGCCTTCTTGACCACAGGGTATTTAAAGCAGCTATCATCCAGGCTGCTGGTCTTCGGTATTTGGCTTTGCTGGCAGGTGCAGTGGTGCCCAGAACTTATAACTTTGTTTACTATTGTTATGGAAGTCTCCCGATAGCAGCTTTTAAGTTCACTGCTGTATTTGTGATTGCAACACACTTCTGTGATGGACATGACTAATACATTTTGAAATTGACGGCCTAAATCAGGGGTTGACCTTCTTTTACCGTTGTGGCTTAGGCTTTGTCTGCGGATCGGGGTCACTTTCGGTCCTCTGTTTAGTCCCATTAGGAAAATGGGTATCTTATAACCTATGTCAAAAACGAAAAAAGCTCTCAAGACTAGTGGTGTGTGTTTTTTAACACCTAGTGATAGAACTAGGTCTGACATGGGTAGACGTTTCTGATGCCAAGAAGGTTTGAGGCAGAATCCTGCATTTCTAGAAGTGAAGTGTAGATGGCTCAGTGGGCTAATGCTTTGGTTCAGCCTTTGGGGGTCACGGGTTCAATTCCCCAACAATGTACCCTTTGAGGTACATGACTTGAAAATCATTAAATGGAGTCACTAATTCCCAGGATGCATTTGGGAACCAGTAAATATCTCTTCCCTGGCTTTTAAGAGAATCTTGCAATCACTGGTTTCTTTATCTAGTATATAGGGCACTGCTTGCTCTTTAGGAGTCTGCCCAATCCAGAATTCCTTTTTTCATTTAATTCGTCAGAACATCTGGTACTCTATTTACAGAAACCGTGTCTGTTATGGTTCTAGTGAACCACGAAGTTCATTAAGATCATGAATCTCCTGGATATCTAAGCAGGATCGCTCCTTTTTTAGACCTGTTTTCGAATTTAAATTATTTGGTTCAGACTCAAAACTGATGCTTCAGTAACTGATACTGCAGAAAGGAGATATATACCCACATAGCCCTATTGCCGTCCCTCATGACTTTTTCAGAAGATGCACCATAAGTGGATTGAAACTTCATTGCAGTTCAAACACCCCCTTTGGACGGTCTTCTGCCCAGGAATAGTTTATAGGTTCTTGCTCCCATAATCCTAATCTGTACGGTTGCTCTTTAAGTATGTTCAGATAGCTAGCAGAACACTACAGGATTGCGGTTGGATACGGAGACTATAAAAGTAATTCTTCCACACAGGTTTTCTGGTGTTTGGGTTAACCCATATGTTATATCTGCATCTGACGACACTAAAAAGGAAAGGTCCAATTTCTAATAAATTTGCTTCAACTGGACAAAATCTAAAATATGGCCGCTACAGTGGGAAATTCTCGGGGTCAAAAGTGTGGTGGTCTTGGATTTGTATCTCCTAGAGGTTTTTTTTATTTTTCCCTTCTCATGGAAGATTTAACTGGTGGATGTAGTTTTCTTCCAAGGAATCTGACCTTTCAGCCTATAGAATGGTTAGTTCTCCCTACATAAGGCATCTATCAGACTGGAGCGCTCCTTTTAATTCTCTAATGTGCCAGCATTCTTTGTCCAAACAAAAATGAGTCAACTAATTTCAGAGCTCGTAAGGCAGTTCTTCACTCCCCTCGCCAATTTCATGGTTAATGGAGAGACTTATTAAGATGCAGTCAGACCACAACAGTTTCTCTCACGTCGACAGGGTGGTTGTAGTGGCAGTCGGTTTCAACTATGTGCCCAACTGTACTGGGCTCAGGATCTCTGGGAGGTCCTCACTCAATACAACTTATGAGGAATCGACAATGTCATCACCTACAACCCAGCACGAGGGAGTGGGATCAAGAGAATGTCTATAGCTCCATTCTAAAGAGATTTGGAGGGCCCGGATAGACCTTATGGCAAGGAGGGAGAACATGATTCCCAGGTTTGCCTCCCTATACAGGACATTTTTCTGAGCTTGTGTTTTTTTCCTCGCAAGACTTCAAAAGATATTAACACAGAGCAATGGTTCTGTTAATCTTTCCACACTAGCTGTTTTTGGCCTGATGGAGATTTCCAGGTTTAGGGATCTCCTTATCTCAAACACTTAGAAGACAGGATGGTCATATTTAAAGCAGGGCAACTGCATGGTGGATCCTTCATCTTCTAAGTCTTAAGGCAGAATCCAATTGTGTCTAATCTAGTTGTTCCACCTCAAACTTTAACATAAGAAGTTGGGTAGAGTTTCTACATTACTGTAAGGAACATCCATGTCTTCTAGTTCACTGTCGGTTTGGTTTAAATTTCCTTCATGAGATTTCCACATTAAGACCAAGTTGTATTTCTGCAGTCTCTGGTGATTTGATCTTTGTATATGCTAGTTGGAAGGCTTCTTGGGCCACCCAGGAAGTTTTCCTCCCTAGATCGATCTTCAATCTTTCAGGTCCCCTTGGACTTTGGAGGTGGCTCCTTTTGTCAGATTATAAAGCTGCAACAGCATTCTTGGTGGCAATTACCTCTGCCAAGGGAGTAAGCAAGCTTCGGGCTTTATCTTCAGTAGACTTTAGTATATTTAGTCAGGGTAAAGTAGTTTCATCATACACACTCAATTCTTCCAGAGTTATCATTTAGAGCAGTTTATCAGCTCATCTTTCGAACATCCTACAACTATACCACCTCCCTGCTGGTTATACTAGAGGTTAAACAGGGCATTACAGGTCTAGCTATCAAGATCAGCCGAATACAGTAAACCAGATCACCTGTTTGCCACTCTATTTCTCGTGTGTCTGGTCTATCAAAATGGCTTGCACTTCAGTAGTTTTGCTACACCAGCTTCTCTCAGCACATTTCACAAAAGCAATGGCCACATCATGGGCAGAGAAAGCTCTTGCTTCACCCGAAGAAATCGACAAGGCTGCTTCTTGGTCATCCTTTGTCAGGCACTTCAGGCTAGAGGTACTCTCTTCCTCTAAAGCTGCGTTGGGGCATAATGTACTACAAGCTGTTGAGACATAAGGCCCACCTGATACTGCCACCATATGTCAGGTAAATAAATTCTTACTCCCCGTAAAAAATGTTTTCTTAATATGGTGGCAGTACAAATCTACCATCTGAACTACAAATTTTGCTTGCAGTATAGGGCGTTGGTGTCTTGTGCTACAACTGAAGTGGGTTTGCCGGGGGAAGCACTCTATATCTTGCAGATGCTTGTCCCAATTAGAAAGCCCAACCCATATGTACTGCCACCATATTAAGAAAAAAATTACAGTGAGTAAAACAAATTGTTTACAATGTTACATCCTTACTAAACAGTCCTATATCTCTCAGCCAATTTTAAATGAGTGTATGCAAAACAAGCAGCAAAAATGTGGACATTCCCTAGTTCTGTTTATGCAATCTTTCTAGTGATCTTAATTCTCACGATTCTAACAAGTGCGGGACTCTTGCCAAACTAAAACATCTGTAGGAATACTTGCCTCTATATAGGCAAAATGAGAACCTCTGGAACGAGCCATCTTGTAAAACAGTCAAAGATGTCAATTATTTGGAAATTCTCAAGGTACTCACGCCTTTCCAGTATATTGCCACATCATGCTGTTCAGGTGCAGTCCATATATTCTGTCTCTTGCTCTGATTGGTAAAATGACATCTAACCTGAACACTTGTTATGGTACTGTGGGGAAATTACATCCATATCGGGCACATATAGACAAACGTGTATTCCTAACACTATACTGCTGGAGTACCTGTTTAGTACTTTGGAACTCATAATGGAGTAGAAAGGTTTCTAAATTTCTCCATTGCTGTGCTGTTCTTGCTGTAGCTGGCTACAGCTCCATGGCGGAGATAATCAATCTTGAAAATCTCTCCCAATCCTTTCCCAATATGAATGCATGTGGAAGGCTTTTGCAAAACTATGCATCAATCAACAAACACCAAAATTGTTTCATTAAAGTGGCACTGTCATGCCGAACTTGCCTCTCTTTAATCGATTCCTCTTCGCTCCCTGTCGGATCTGTTCATTTCTTCCTGTCTGCTCTCTTTTTTCTATAAAACATAAGACAACGTAGGGAGTATCTGTCTTATGGAGGTTTCCTATGCCTGACCATCTCTGATCAGCAGAGGAGCAAAGTGTGCTTCATTTCCAGTGGTCAAATTTTTTTTCACAATTCTAAGCTTTCTTGTTTCGCAATGCTTCCGGTCAGTATTCCAGAACGTCCTGTCACTTAGACTGAACGCCGGCAAAACCACCTTACCCCGGGGGTGGGGGCCAGGGGAGGACAATAGGTCCCCCCTTCACCCCCCATTATCCTTTAGGACAACCGCTCAGGGTTTTAACCATGAGCAGCCACAGGCGGCTTACTCTTTAGTAGACATGCCCCTACTTGCAGTATAGAGAGTAGGGGCATTCTGGAGATTGCAATCTCCCTTAGGCTATTATGGGGGTCATATTGACCCCATAGAGTGAGGGAGGACATGGGGGCTTAGGAAGTGGTAGGGAGCACTGCTTCATGCCGCTTCTATCTTTACATTTTACAAAGAGGGTGCTGTGCGCTGGTAGCTCACTTCTTGTAATCTGAACAAACGAACACTGATATTTGGTTCGTCTTTCTGACGAATGGATGAAATTCCCGTTCGCAGGCCCAAGTGTTTAACTGGGCATGTGTGGGAATTTCAGTGCTATCTAGTGTGGACACATGACGTGTCCCACAGGGACTTCATCTAGCCACACAAAGATGGCAGCGGCGCCCAGGACCTAGGTCCATGCAGACAAGATAAAAATCAATTGGATGTAGTGGAGTCGGGAGGGGGTTAAAAAACCAAAAAAAAACTGGATTCGGCCATGACTGTGCCGCTTTAAGCTAAAGTAGTTTTTGGTTGCTATAGTATCCCTTTACTCTTTATGAAAAAATTTTTTACTTACCATAGAGGTGACAGTTTTTATAAATATTTGAAAAAGGATTGTTCAAAAGAACCAGCTACCCTTGCCAAATGCTTATTTTGCAAATTCCAACAGTCAGCCTCTACATCCTATAAGACTTTAAAAAGAATGCAACCAGAAAACATTAGTTTTTCTGAAGGAATTAGAATACCTATTAAACAATGGTGCTCTACCTGTCTGGGTATACTTGTACAGCTGAAAAGCTTCCTCATATAGAATCCATTCTTTTTGGATATTTATATCTTACCTGGCTGAACCACTGTCAGATAAGGATAAACCACTCAAAATATCCAACATATGCTTAAAGTGTGTGGTGTGTGTTTTTTAAACTCCTTAAGGACACATGACATGTGACATGTCATGATTCCCTTTTATTCCAGAAGTTTGGTCCTTAAGGGGTTAAATGCTGAAAGCCCGCTGCATAAACCTTGCTACTCTTCACCTAATACTGTTGAAGATGCCAAAAGACTTGCAGCGAGTTATTAAAAGTGCATTCAATTGAGGCTATTCTCTATGGACCTCCTCTGCTGAAGGCAAAAGTGACAATCCATTCTTTCCCAACTTTCTACATGTGTAGTTAAAGGAACACTATATAGGGTTAGGAACACAAACCCTGTATTCCTGATCCTGCTGTTACAACTACCATTTAGGTGGCTTGCCCTTTAAAAGGTGTTAAAACTCTCCTTATTTCCAGCACCGTTCTGGCCCAGCCTGATATGCCTCCTTGGTGACATCAGAATTTACGATTTTTGCAATAAAATGCTTTTCCATAAAGGATTAGATTGGCCCTGCCTCCTTGCAGCCAAACACAATTTTGGCCAGTCAGCACCACCTCTGAATTGGTGCATCTGAGGGAAAATTCTGCGTCTCCATGCAGATCGTGGAGACTCTGAACGGCAGTGCTGCCTACTGTGCAACACTCTTCTGTTTAACAGTACTCATTAAAGCCTTTTCTGGCACTGCCACTCCCACTACCCCAAACCAGAGCTCGACACCTTAACCAACTCAATGAACTCCTTTTCTAATTCTAGCTAACTGAACAGAATTGTACTCATACTTGCCACCACTAGTATCAGCTGTGATTTGCACCTTGCGTTTCTCAAGGACTGGCATCCCTTCAAGGTGAAACTTTTCACCCAAGCTCATATTTATAAAAAAAAAAATAAAAAAAAAAAATTTTTTTTCTTCTAGCCAGGCCCTCTAGTCTACCCTGTCCCTGGGTTGCAATAGGGGAGAAGGGCAGACGTTTAAGTCCTTATCAGGCTCTGCCCCTTTAAATCCAGAGTAAGTGGACAGCAGCACAATGTGAATCCCCTGCACTAAAACAAAGTACCTCCTCAAACAGGACTCTGCCAGCCTGCACATGAGAACTTCTGATGCCCTCTTTAATCCACATAGTGGTGAGTGGGTCTGTCTGACATCATAGCTATTGTGATATCTTGGATGGATTTTGGTTTGTGCTGCTGTTATATTCCCACGCAGCCTGTGCTTTTGCAGCTCGTAACCTGCACTCAATTCCAAGCCAGGAACACTGGTGTCACTACTTATGTCCACAAACTAAACTTTGCCCACATCCCTATAGCCAACCTGAAAAGTGAATTTTATGTTTTGGGTGTTGCGTTTGCCAAATATTTGTCTAAATACAAATGCACAAGTCTAAACTTTCAGGCTTGGTTATTGTACCTCATAACTTTATTATTTATAACTTTGCTTAAGAGTGGCCATAAAATCAATTGCTTTAAACAGGGGCAAACAGATTTGAGGAAGGGCTGATGGTCTGGTGTTTAGGCCTGCCAGAGCTTGAATTTAAAATCCAGTTGGCTCAACTAGAAGTAGTAGCCCTTGTGGCTAGCAGTTTGTTGTTAGATATTGCTGAATTAAGAAAATGATGCAAACTTTATTTGGCTTTCCTGTTAGTCAAAATGTATTCCTTGCCATGTGCCTGCTTTTCAAAATGTTGATTACATAATCCTTTAAGGAGTTAGGTTTCTGAAACTTCTCTTCAGATGGTAAGAAGATTGTCACCTTTCTTGAAACCAGAAGCAACTTGTAAGTTTTGTGTGGTTTGTTTTTTTGTTTAAAGGACCACTATAGGCACCCAGACCACTTCAGCTTAATGAAGTGGTCTGTGTGCCAGGTCCAGCTAGGTTTAACCCTTTTTGCTGTAAACATAGCAGGGGGCACTATAGTGCCAGGAAAGAGTGGGTTTTCCTGGCACTATAGTTGGTCCTTTAACAATCTTAACATAAACCTAATAATCTAACTTCTCTGTGGGGTGCACAATTCTTGACTGCCTCTTCAGTATGTTAAGAGGATTCCTGAATGGATGGCCGTAAGCCTCTAAGATGTAAAGTATGCTCCCTTGTTTATAACAAAATCATGTTGGCTATTGAAACTGCCAATGAATTGAATAAACTTCAGAATACCAAAGACTTTTTTTTTTTTTTTTTTTTAATGTAGATTTGTTTCCTATAAACATCCATATTTAAAGCCTGCTTTGTGTGCCAACTGCACTTTTTATATACACAGGTACCTGGCAAATGACATGGAGGAAGATGAAGAAGACTACAAGTACGAGATTTTTCCCTGGGCTTTGGGCAGCTCATGGCGTGAGCTGTTCCCAAAGTTTCTGAGACTGCGGGACAATTTCTGGGCTAGAATGAACTATCGAGCAGTTGTGAGTCGGAGGTGCTGTATTGAGGTGTGTAGCATTAACTGATCACTCTTACAAGGCTGTATTTTTTTTATTTTTTTTTTTACATTTTATCACCTATGGTACTTTTTATTTCTACTGTATGCATGTTTATATATAATTTAAATTTAATGAACTTCCACATCTCAATTGATACAGCACCTACTAGCACAGAAACTGCTAAACTTAAAGAAAAAAGTTAAATGTGAAAGTTTATAGAAACTGCCTTTAACTGATCCTTTTAGCAAACAAAGCATTCACACATGTGTGTTGGGTGTTTTTTCTTTATGGCTGCAGGGAGGACTGCGCATGTGCAGTGCCTGTTGCATGTAGTTGAGTGGAGAACAAAGGGTCGTGGATAAAACCCACTTTAATTGCCCACTAGTGGTCAGTAGGGACCAGGTTGATTACCACTGGTCTAGCTTAATAGTAGGCTGCAAAAAGTAACTGAAAATTCTGTGTATAATTCAAAAATACATGAAGCACAAAAACAACTTTAGCGTAATGGAGCAGATTTGGTGTATAGATAATCTCTGCAGTCTCATTGCTCAGTTCTGTAATTCAAGAGGTAAGTCTTTTTGATTCAGCTGTAGTCGCACCTCCCTACAAATGACTTGTTCAGCCTTGCTAAGCACTTACTGTAAAGACATCTAATGTTTGAAACTAAACAGAATGTGCAACAAAGGTAGTGTAAATGGCCTATCTCCTGCTCTGTTAATAGCTTGCGAGACTGGTTTGCCTATGGTGATGGCTATATAGATTGTTTTTTGGGGGGGAGGGTGGCGGCACATATATTCGAAAACCCCAAGAACTTGCCATTACTTGATACTAGTTCCAGTGCTTGCTTTAGTGTTCAGGATTCTCATAGAACAATGGAAAATCTATTTCAAAACTTCTAAAGATGGGTGACCTTATCAAGACCTGTGTATTACCACTTTTTTTTTTTCCATTGTGTTCACGAAACTGGTTACTGGCTATATTAACCACCCACTGGTTGAGACTGATGGCATTGTCAACATAAGCGGTTTAGCATGTGGTTGCCTTGCGATCACAGTATATCCTATATAGACTAGCTCTCACAAGCATTCATCTGAATCATTCTGCATGTTTGGAGTTTTGGGCAGTATGAGATGTTTTGATCTCCTCTAGAAAGGGTGGACAGACACCTCCCTGATATCTGGCTCTAGAGGTGCTCCACGACAACTGAAAAGGGCCTCTCTGACCTGACTTGTCTGGTTGAAGTACAGTGATGAAATACAGTATAAATAAAGGCAGGCTGCATTGACAAATGCCTTCCACCATAATCACTTTACTGAGGTGGAGTGGTTATGGTGCTTGGAGACATTTAACTTGAAATATCTTGCAAATCCTTTTAACACTAAACAATCTTGCAGGTGATGTCCAAAGATCCATCTCACTGGGCATGGCTCCGGGAGCGTCCTATTCACCACAGTGGAGCCATTCGTGGCTATCTCAGGAACGAGGACTTGTTCCCCCGTGGTCCTGGCTTCACACCCACCAGCTGCAGTCTATGCCAGGGAGCCAGCCCATGCAATTCTGATGAAGCTGCTGCCACCAGCCCATCACCAGAGCAAAACTCCTTTTCATTCACAAATGAAGAGTGGTCACAGCATTTCATACTTCCACCAGAACTGCAGGATCTTCAGGCATCATATGATATTCACAGTAAGTATTACATATCTCCTTTGCTGGCACTATATAAAGAAAATTATTCAGATTGGGGTGCTACTATCTGACAGACTACAATATACGTCATCTCTGCAGTGACTCTTCCTTGAGTGTTCCTTATCCTTGTACAATTTATACTAATGAGCACTGTTGCTACTATGTGTTTTTTTTTTTTGTTTTTTTTTTAATCCTGAATAGCAAATTGTGATGTTTCCAGATTCTTGTCTCTACAAGTTAACAGTATATTTGTATTATGGTGTAGTATAAAAACTGGAAACCTTTCTTAAAAGGCAATACAAATCTACAAAGAATGCATTCCTTTAAGTTGTTTTGTTTTTTGTTTTTCAGTAAGCAGGTATAATAGAAGGAAAAACATGGTGCTGCGGTACTAAAGGGTCACGTACAAAGCTGTTTAAACTTTTTTTTTGTATACTTTCACTCTAATATTTGCATAGTTTCATATAATATACAAAGATATAGCTTGTAAAATGTTAACCTTTTTAGTACTCCAGGAACCACTGGTTGGATTGGAACCTGGAGGAACAGCTCTCGATTGGCAACTCTAGCAGGAAGAGAACCACTGGTCTTTTTCCTGTCTGACGCATTGAATGGACAAGTTATCTCAGGGCTGCCATGAAGTGTGACTGGGATAAAGGGAAAGCTTTCTCTGCATAAAGCACTTTCAAGTCTACTTGAATTGTTTCTGTAAATAAGATGTCGATATATTTGCACACAGTGGTCTGGTTACAAAGATCACCAGGTATGCACACACTGCCATTATAAATGTAGTTATTTAAATCCAGCTCACAATTTCATATAAAATTGTAAACACGTAAACTAAACAGCTGTTTAAACCTGTGGCTTAAGCGAAAAAATGGTATGAATGAAATCTGTAAATGTAAGCTTGGAAAAGTAAAAATCACTACAATATGGCTCTTGAGTGTTTTTATATTTTCTATTTAAAAATTTATGGCATGTTTTTTTGCTGTTTTATTTTGAACAGTGCTATACAATGACTGTAAAGACACTTTCAGCATAATTTGCGTATTTTCAATTACTTTAAATTGTACAACATATGAGTGCAGCCTAAATGTTGAATGTGTATCTTCTGACATATAGAAGGAATAACATACAAAGAGAAATTTTGAAATAACAGCACAGCTGTAGTCAATTCTTGATTTACAAACCATAACTCATGACCTATTTTGGAGTTTCTAACAGAAGTTACCACAGAAGGGTTGCAAAACTATACAGTGACAAAAGGTGAAGGGGTGTAAAAGGGCTGAGGAGTGAATCAACAAACCCTAAGTTAAAATCCCCCTTGTAAAGGAATAGAATTCTAAAGGGGTTAAAGTAAGGAAGGTACTCACGCAATCCAGAATTTGAAATGTGCAGTAACAGTGCATACAATGTTTCTTGTACCAGTCCATGAAGCCTTTTGAATGTGTCATTTAAAGGAACACTCTAGACCCCATCACTTCATGTTAATGGTGCAAACCATTAATCTGGTAAACACAAGTTTGAACTAACATTTTAACCTCACATTTGTCCAGATGGTGCCCGTCCTCCAAGTAAGTCTAATCTGATTCCAGCTTCAATATGCAGTAGGTGGTGCTGATAGGCTGACACTCATCAGATCACTGGTGCCTACAGTGGCACTGAAGACACTGATCTGGAGGGTGGGAACACTGTTTGGGCACAAAGTTTTGGAATGTGCTGCCTCACATCGAAACCTGAAGAGTACGGAGTGTTATGGTAGTGCTTAATAAACAAACCCGAAATACATTAAAGATGTGAATAAAAGCAGCTAAACACATGTGGATCCATTTCCCTCAACCAGTACAAATAAAATAAAGTGTATAGAAGTGAAAACCTTGTATAACAAAGTGGAGCGCTGAAACAATATTGTGTATATGGGGCTTTTCCCGCTTTATGTTGAAATGACTTTCAAACGTTCAGGCCTAAAAAGAACAAATCAAGATGAGATTCATACATAACCTTAAAGAGGTAAGCTAATTTTCCCATATACAAAATTACATTACAGGAACAAGGGTGTTCCTGACCCTATAGTGTTAAAGCCACTATTTAGATGTCTTGCCGCACTATAGTCCCTTTAAAGGAATTAAAACTTGCTTTATTTCCAGTGCTGTGCTGGCCCTGATCCACCTCCTTGATGACATCAGAATTTTTTTTGCCATTCAATGATTTCCCATAGAGAAATCACTGAATTGGCTAAATCAGCAAGAAGGCAAGATGGGGGCAGGGCCTAGCACTATTGGTCCATCAGCACCTCCTAGAAAGGCATTGAATCAATGCATCTGAGGAAACTCAAGTCGCTGTGCAGTGGGGAGACTATGAACCGCAGCATTGCCCACTGTACTGCATTGCCCCAGGAAGCCCCTCCAGTGGGCACAGGAGGTGTCACTAGGGGGCAACAAATACTGCCTTTTCTCTGAAAAGGCAGTGTTTGCATGAAAATGCCTACAGGTAATGATACGCACCAGGAAGAACTACACTACGCTGTAGTTCTGGCAACTATAGTGTCCCTTTAAAGTTTCAGCACGTCTTGTGGTTTAGTGTTTTTTGGTTAAGGTTGATTTGCATAAAATATACACTTTAGACTAGTCTTAATTAAAAAAAAAAAAAGGGTGTGCAAAATAACATTTAAAAGCAAATTATTATTTTTTTTTTTTTTTTTAAATTCCTCGCTGCCTCAGGGGACCTTGTAATGCAAGCATGTCACTCGCGTCCCACAATTAATAGCTTTGCAGCCCACTGAGCCACGAGTTTGACATGCTTACTAAGGCAGAGTAGGTACCTGCTTTCCCCACATTTATTGCTAAAATTTACCCAGCCAGGGAGGAGAGGTCACTGGCGGCAGAGGTCCTGTCCTGTCTTCCTGGTCCTCACTGATCCCTCGTGTGCGCCCTCTTCAATTATGCCAGTATATGATGTCAATCTGGTACCACTAAACTGCATACGAGGGAGCAGTGAGGAGCAGGAAGACTGAGCTCCCGAGAGATCATCCCCACTGGACCCTATGGAGAGACCCCACACTAGCTCCCAAAGGTAGGGAGCAATAAATAAAATGTGAGTGTGAATGTGTCAGTCAGTCTGTGTGTATTACTCAGTGTTGCAATGGCCACGGTTGAACAGTGGAGGACCTGAAGGTGCACGGAGACACGTAACATCACATTGTGATGTCAACATGCGCCGCCTTCACAGGTTTTCAAAGAGTAGATGGAAGATCCGCTTTGGCACAGGGTGCGGACGGCGCCATTGGGGGTATACCGGTGTCGCATACTGGCAGCGGCAATGTGAGTGGAGTCTGCTTGTTGGCGCTTATTTTATTTTTTATAAACAAGGGCTGGGATTTAGTACGTTTCTATGAAAATTTAAGGGTTTTTTTGTTTGTTTTTTGGCCCACATAAATTAAACCTTGTTTATTTGGCCCGTGTTAGCCTTTCAGCTTGTTGTAATGCTTCCGTCTGTCGTTGAAGCTTGACTGGGGTCTTTCTGGAACTCCTCTGCCTGAACAGGCAGTAACTCCCTTCTTCCAGGCAGGTATTGTCACCTAGAGCTTTCATAATGTTGCAGAAATGTCCAGACTTCAAATAAAAATTTTAAAAAACCTCTGGTAATTACTCGGTAAGCAATATTATATAGATCAGTCGCCTTGCAGGGTGCTTCCTAATATTTGGTACTGATATTCCGTACATTTGCAGTTATAAAAAAGGAACACATCTGCCGTTACGGAGACACTATAGCTTCAAAATAACCTAATCTAAATGAAGCTCTTTGGGTGTATAGATCATGTCTCACTGCTTAATACTCTTCCATTTAGGAATTAAATCTCTTTTGTTTCTCTTTATGCAGCCCTAGCCACACCACCTCTAACTCACACAGCCTGCCTGGAAAAAGTTTTTTTAATCTGATGTTAACTTGCTTTAGCAGTTTTTATTTCATGTTCTGTAAATTGAACTCTGATCACGCAAGGAGGATCCTGGGGGGTCTTGCGAGCCATTAGCAAAGGAGGAGATATGAAATTCTAAAATAAACAGGCTGTGCAATAAAGGAAGTTTTAACATTAGATTACTCGTTACAGGAAGTGTTTAGGAATGATGTACAAGTCACATGCAGAGAGGTGTGAATACATTCCCAAATATCACCGTCTCTCTTGGTTTACCAGATATCCTATATGTAGTTATCTTCCCTAGAGATTCTATAAGAAATGGCATTTGGCAGCCATAACACAGTGCCTTGGCTCCCAAACATTGTGAGAAGTTAAACCATTTTAGAACAGTTTGACTTCTTTCTGGAGTCTTCCAGGTACCACTCTTGACCTTCTTTAAGCAGCCATGAGAGCTGGAGAATACTGCTTAAGAGCTTGCATTGGCTCTCCAGACCTAAGCTGCTTGTCGGCTTTGGTCAGACAATGTCAATCCAGCTCTCTGAATGCAGTGTGGAGTCAAGGAGCAGAACCTAGGTAAGAAGTCGAACCATTCTAAACTGGTTTGACTAGTTACATTGGGAGGCAACCAAGGAACTTCAGGCACCATAATCATTTCAGCACACTGTAGTGGCTACAGGGATTGGAATTTTCATTTAACGATTGCTAAGCTAATGGTTTACAAGTTGTCCCTGTTTGGCATTAAAGAAGGGGAAAAAACGAAGTTGCATAAAAAAAAAGAGAAATGAATAACAAAGAGAAATAAAATTGAAAATCCTGCCAAGTGACAGTGCTGCTTTAACCAGAATCTTGATTTATCCAGCAACAAAAGGTAGTGGGAAGTCAGCTGGTGGAAGCTGTAAGGTAACTGATATCTGTACAACTTAAAATGCCTCAGGCTCTCAAAGTTAGTTCCATGTATTCAGCACAAGAAGTATTATCTTTATCTGGCTGTTTGTTTAGGCTGATGCTACAAATCACAAAAGTGAAAGGTCATTGAAGAGTCATTCATTACAAGGCATTTAAAGCATTACTCTTGAACCATGACCACTTCAGTGATTTGAAGTGGTCATTGTGTCTGGAGACTATGAAACACTGTGCATAGGGAGTTTAACCACTTTGTTTGCACTTTAATAAGGCAATTCGTACTCTTTGCACAATAAATTTATTTTTTATTTTAAATCTTAAAGACACAGCGCACCTTTATTTTTTAGTGTGTATGTGCGTCTGAATGTGAATGTGTGTATCTGTAGGTGAATGTGAGTGTGTGTAACTGAATGAGTGAGTGTGCATGTCTGTGAGTGTGTGTGTGTTGGCTAAACAGTATGTGTGACAATGACTGTGTATCTGCTTGATAAAGATCCTTAGGTTCTTGCAGGATCTCTTTAACTACTTTCAATTGTGTCATGGTGTCCTTTTTTCTATTTTTCTCATCATTATACAGTGGTGCATACATTTTTGTCTTCTTAATTGATGCCAATCTATGACATTATAAGTGTAGATTTCTTTTATACCAATGTTAATTGCTATAGCATTATAGCTGCAAAAAGTTAATACGGTTTCCTATAGAAAGCTGTAACTACAGATATAAACCAGTTTTTTTCTGTGCTTGCGGCAAGAAAATTAATGCTCTGACTAAGCTAAGTATTGCTCAGAAGTCATCTTACAATCCATGTTAGTAAATATCATGGACGTTTAACATCCGAGCAATGGTTGTGTTACTGTATTTTAAGCAATCCAACTGATAATCTTAAAATAAATATTTGAAATTCTTCCAGTGTATTCTTCTCTAATTTACATTTTTATTGCATAGAAGAAATATACACATATCCACTGCAGCATGAAAAACAGTGCTATACTTAGGAGGGGGTGGAGCGATGATGTGACGTGCACGTGG